TTAGTAACATGATTTATCCTGATTTTATTAATGAGTGTAATTTCATGTACTTGCATTAATTTCAAACAAAGTTGATAGTGCTACGAATTSATGCTCCTTCCAAAACACATCAAAGAACAAATATTCTGCAGCAAAATTAGACATTTATAATTTATGTATCTGAACGACATTTCTTCCTGTCTTGCTAAAAGACAGGCTCCTCCAATCACATACAGCCTCCTTACACATGATGAAAAGGTTTCAGGAAGATTCTGATTTTGTGCTTGATTTAAATGTCAAGCAAAAAATGGCTCTTTCCTGGTAACTTCTCTGGGTGGCTAAAATAAAATAATAAAAATAAAATCAATCATATTGGTGGATTTAAAACTCAAATATGTTTGCTTTGCAAAACAAAATAATAATACTAATACTATAAAAATAGCATTACTAATCAKTAAATTACTAACAGTATGGACTTTCTGTTCAAGCTGCTGAAGGATTAATCTTCGTTTGCTAAACTGTTGAACCAGTTTTTGATGAGCATCTTTTTCTGCAAGCAAGGTGGCAGTATTTCCTTYGTTTCTGTTCATTTAGCCAGCTCACTTAAATGGATTACTTCAACTGATTTTTTTTCACTGTTTCCACCCATAAATAAAAAAGAGGCAGAGATGACAGSATGCTCTCTACCAGTTCTATATACTTGAAAGACTGAGTGATCAAACCMATTATGTTCTCTTCCTACAAGTATACTTCCATTTTTTTTAAATAAAAACTTTTCAGTGCAGAACATATTTAGACAATCTCCTTAAGAGGAAGGTTCAAATCCATTTATAGTAATCTTATTTAGCTAAAAGCAACTCTAAAGAGGGRGTTTTCCCTCATTAATTTCTTTCAATTCCCGTATTTATCTGCTATGACTTTGGTATGAATCACAACTAATGTGTAATAATTACTTAGCAAAAAAAGAAATTATATAGTCCTCATATTTCAAAATAGAAAAATATGTGTAAAAATTAAGATATTATTTTAAAGTCTGAAATGTCGCAGATGCATATAACTATACCATACCCTCTTTGTTAGCAAAAAGAAATGGTAAATTATGCATGAAGACTATTATCAGCACATTTTAATGCTTACCAAACTGTGAAAAATCAGTCTTTAAGACACAATGCAACTATAATTTAATATAAAAAAATCATTTGAATCAAAGTTTTCTGTTCACTGACTTAAGACTAATTTTCATGATGACTGATTTAAACCACTCCTCTGAAGTGTAACTGTTTACTCATTCCAAGCTACAAAGAAAACWTTTTTTCTGCAAATACTGCTGCCCGACTCCTCACTTTTTCTAGCTGCAGTCGCACATTTACTTCTGTAAACAGGATTATGGCAGTGGTTCCCTTGGATGCRTGGGAAGCTCCTGGCAGTCTCTCACTGAAGCCACGCCTGTGGCCCTCCTCTGCCAAAACCTTGCCACACAAACCCTATACAAAGCTCTGGTGGCATAAAAAAAACTGTGAAAAAGAGCACATTTTTAGTGCAATGTAATTAACTGTTCACATTACCAAAAGTGATAGCCCTCATATCACAACTTGTGTTCTGTTTTTATAACACTAAAAATGTTCTAAATGGATATGACTCTGCCATATTCCTTCTATGCTTAAACTACAACAATTCATAAGTTCTGAAAGCTTTTACAAGCCTCAATTTACCTCAAATACCTTATTGCCTCAACTCTCAGCAATTCTTGACCAGACAAACCTTCAGACCAACATCTTCAAGACRTTTTATGAAGTGTTCCTCAAGGGTGGAAGAAACAGCTTTTACCACAACATGGCTTTTATCATTTGTGTTGTATTGAATGGTAACCATTTGTCTCAAAAAAATCCAAMCAAGGAAAATATTCCTCCTCAAATTAGGGACTGCAATGGGATATTCTGGCCAGAATATGAGGATGCAACATCCACAGCAGCATAAAAAATACTTCTGGTATAACTAAGAAGTATGACCATCGTGTCACATGCAGACCTTTTATCCTTTTTCATTCTATGTGTGACAGTGTTAATTATTTGCTCCCACAGGAATTCACTCCACAAACTYGAACCAGCCCTGCTTTTGTTTGCTCTGTTGTGCTAAGATATTAAGCTGCTATCTGTGCCATCAGCCCATCATTTTTAGGTGCAGACTACCTGAATGCTGAGCACCTTGAATCTGATGTGGCATTAAATCCTCACAGAAGGAAGGCAGTAAAATTRTCAGGCTGGAGTTCTAGTCTTGACCAAAGCTCTCCAGAAGGCAAAATGTTACAAGATTACTAAGTTTTTGAGGAGTAATTATCTCAAACTCAAGCAGACTGCATTTTTGTAGTTCCCTGAGATGTTATGAAGGAATGCAGATCCTGGGAGTGTACAAACTTTGGCTCATGCATAAAGCACAAATATACAGTCAGYTATAAATAGCATGCAGGAATAATGCAACCATGACTATAGTCTGCTATAACTGCACTGCTATTCTGCATGAGGGACATGAAATCCAGGTCTATTTTTCATCAGCAGAATTCAATCTGAGTTTATCTACACAGACAGATCCATAAATAAAATGGTATCACGGAAGAATTAAACTAGAACTTTCAACAGGTTGTTCAGATTCAGTTTAGGTGGGTTTGGGACAACTCAGGCTGGAGTTTGACAAGGCACAAACCTCATATAATAAGCAAACGGACAACTTAAAAGTATTTTTTTCTAACCAGATCTCCTTCTATTTTTTTTTTTAATTATGTTCCCTTAAGCAGCAGGCTTTATCACCACTATTAATATTAATGCTAGCTAGCTCTAAGTATTTATTTATTAATGCCCTCTRAACACTTTGGCTTGGTCATGTGTTTTGAGTGATGATCAGGGAATCACAGAATCATGGAATAATTTGGGTTGAAAGTGACCTTGAAGATCATCTAGTTCCAACCCCTCTGCCATGAATTCCTGGTTTTGGCTGTTCATTTTTTTTTTTTTAGTAGGTGGTAGAGTGCTCTGTTTTGGATACAGTATGAGAGAAATACTCAGATGTTTTGGTTGTTGCTAAGTAGTGCTTACCCTTAGTCAAGGACTTTTCAGTGTCTCATGCTCTGCCAGTGAGGAAGTGCATGAAAAGCTGGGAGGGAGCATGGCCASGACAGCTGACTCACAGAATCATAGAATGGTTTGGGTTGGAAGGGGTTCTAGTTCCAACACCTCTGCCACGARCTGGGACACCTTCCACTAGTCCAGGTTGCTCAGAGCCCCATCATATGCAGCCTTGAACACTTCCAGGAATGGGACAGCCATAACTTCTCTGGRAAACCAGTACCAGTGTCTCACCAGCCCCATAGTAAAGAATTTCTTCCTAGTATCTAATCTAAACCTTCCCTCTTTCAGTTTAAAGCCAAGTCCTCTTGTCCTATCACTACAGGCCCTGTAAAAAGTCCCTCTCCAGTTCTCTCATAGCCCGTTTTAGGTATTGAATTGCTGCAGTAAGTCTCCCAGAACCTTTTCCAGGCTGAACAACCTCAATTCTCTCAGCCTGTCTTCATAGGAGAGGTGCTCCAGCCCTCTGAGCACCTTTATGGCCCTGCTCTGGACTTATTCCAACAAYTCMACATCCTTTTAATGCYGGGGRYGCCAGAGCTGGATGCAGCACTGCAGRTGGRGTCTTACCAGAGCAGAGGGGCAGAATCCCCTCCCTCACCTGCTGCCCAGGCTGCTTTCGAGTTCCCAGACTGAATAACCCATTTAGTCAGGGGAAAAAAGAATCTAATTTGACTTTGCTATACACTTGCTTACTCTCTTCACAACCTTTCCACTACTATTTTACCAACATTTCATATATTCCTTCATGCCTCCTGGAGCATTTCTGAGGAAGAACTATGGTATATGAGAATATACCCTTTGTATATGATAATATTTTGGGAATATACACAATTACTGTGGTAGCACACACATACCAAGGGCACAGTTTAGCAACTCCTGGCAGCACAACCGGCGGTGGGACGATCCCTCCAAATGGTGTGGCCTGTGGCATGTCCCCTCCAGCCTGTGTGTCTGTGGGATGTCCCCTCCAACCTGTGTGGCTGTGGGATGTCCCCTCCAGCCTGTGTGTCTGTGGGATGATCTCTCCAACCTGTGTGTCTGTGGGATGTCCCCTCCAACCTGTGTGGCTGTGGGATGTCCCCTCCAGCCTGTGTATCTGTGGGATGTCCCCTCCAGCCTGTGTGTCTGTGGGATGATCCCTCAAACCTGTGTGGCTGTGGGATGTCCCCTCCAGCCTGTGTGCCTGTGGGATGATCCCTCCAAACCCGTGTGCCTGTGGGATGATCCCTCCAAACCCGTGTGCCTGTGGGATGATCTCTCCAACCTGTGCGGCTGTGGGATGTCCCCTCCAACCTGTGCGGCTGTGGGATGTCCCCTCCAACCTGTGTGGCTCTGGGATGATCCCTCCAAACCCGTGTGGCTCTGGGATGATCTCTCCAACCTGCGTGGCTGTGGGATGATCCCTGTGGCCAGCGTGACGCTGGCCTGTCCTATCCAACACCTGTTCCCCTGGCTGTTACCTCACGAAAAAAAAAAAGGACACTTATCAGAAAAATTCTTAGAAACACWCCCCGTTGCACTCCACAGATGGAGCGAGGCGTTTCAGCCGGGCCGAACAGCTGAAGGAGGCGGTGGCACATGGCAGCTCCCGCCCCTCGCTGGGACCTGCTGGGTGAGGGGAAGGAGAGGTTCCTCGGCTGTACCACTGCGGGCCTTGCGGGTGAGGACGACATCAGGCGGCTGCGGTTCGCCTCGGCACCATCCAGCTCCTCCGAGCCGAGCGGGGTCGGATCCCAGCGCAGCATCCAGCGCTACATCCCGCTCTCTGCCCCGGCCCCTGGCCGCGCTTCCCGCCCGCCTCTTCCCGGCCTCGGCCCCCCCCGCGCGGCGAATGGTGCGGGCCGCAGGTGTGGCCGGCGGGACAAACCAACAGCGGGCGCGGGGGGATCGGCGCGGCGGGAGGGCGGGACGGGACGGGGCTGGTAGCGGGCGCATCACCGGCAGCGACGCGGGCGGAGCGGCCGCCGCGGGAGATTGAAGTGCCGGGGCCGCGGCGGGGCGAAGAGTGTGAGGCGCTGCCGCCGCTGCCAGGGTCGCCCGAGGGGAGGAGAACAGAAGGAAGGGGCCGGTAAGTGCCACGGGCCGGCGGCAGCGGGAGCGCGGCCCCGGCGGCCGCGGTGGCGGTGCCGGGGGGGCGGCCGGGCGGGCAGGGCACGGCGGGGCTGCGGTCGCGGCTGGAGGGGGCCCGGTCCCGCCCGGGTGGCTGTCCCTGGCCTGCCCCGCCGAGCCGCCCGTGCCTGACCTGCGGGTGGGAGGAGGYGCGTGGCGAACCGGGAAAGGGCGCGCGCCAGGCGGGGGAACACCGCTCGCCTCTCCCCAAGGTGGCTGGCCCAGGTGTTGGGACACGCAAGTCTGGGGCCTGGATCACGAAGCCAATCTCGGTTCAAAGATAGAAGTTAGATTTTTTTTTGGCTTTTTGTTTGAAAAAAATTTTTTTAGCTTGAGTCAGCTTCCTGGGCCGATTCAGGGTACGGGCAGTGAGAGGAGAAACTCGYGGCTGGAGCTGCTGCACGTGGTACAAGTGCTGGTTGAAAGTGTTAATAAAGCTACTTGTTAATTAGAACATCTGTATTAACTCTAATTAGAGCATCTGTAGGGATTCTAATTAGAACATGTGTCAGAACTCGTGAGTTATAATTTGGTCATTCTTATCTTGACGGAGCATTTATTTTAATGCTGAGGTGTTTTAGGTGCCTTTGGGTGAGTGCATTTCTCCTTGAGCCTTAGCAGATGTGTGTATGGAGTAGGTTTCTTCAGCGAGAGCTAAACCTCTTTAGAAAAGCATTGATTCTTGTATAGCAGCACTCGGAAAAAACTGTGGGTCGCCATCACGTGATCAGCTTCAGGGATTGGTTGCGGGAAGAGCAAGATTTTAGAACACTGACAACTAGACGACTTTAATGCTTTAAATTTCTGTGTGTTCACTTATCAGAACCACATTTACATCCTGTCACATACTGAATGGCCTGGTGTGTATAGGCATTCTTGAGTCTAACAGATGTGATGAAAGGCATTTGCCCTTCCCCTCACCAGCCTTTAGAATCACAATGACAAAAGGCTGAAATATATGAGAAGGCAGATTTGTGAAATATTAGGACATAGTTCTGCCCTTAAATGTGACAAATAGAGCAAGAAAATTAGGATATTCCAGGAAACTCTGTAACTGGACACTAGTTTGATAGGTCTCAAAAGCATCTTTCCAAATCACTTTTGTCTCCAGAGAAACACCCTCCACATGTAGGACTCTGCTATCCTGACTTCCTTGAGTGAATGTGGTAGCTGAGTCAGTGGCAGCAACTGTTTATAATTCAGTCTTGTTAAATGACCCTTCCCATCTTCTGGGGAGAAGTTTGAGCTTTCCCTGCAGCCCCTCCCTGGTACTTTTATATCCTTCCTTATATCAAACATCCATCCTATGCTGCCTCACACTCTCTCTGTGTTTTGGARGTTCAGCTGCTGGTAGGGCCTTGATTTCACTTCTTTCACTTTCTGTTCTTCTTTACAGAGATCCCAGGAACTGGCATTTGTTTCCTGTTCCTTTCTGGCAAACCTGAGCTTCTGATAGGAAAGAGGGTTTGGTCTGCTTCTAAGGAGCTGATAGAGCACAAGGCTTAGCCTGGCTTATAGCTTCTGCTTATTTACTAAGTTACTATTTAATAAGTTATTACTRTTGCCTAGGAATCTGAAATCACCATCCTCCCTGCTCTTACTACTGTCAGCTCAAAGTGAAAATCAGGGTTTCCTTTCTTTTTATCTTTACTTCTCTTTCCTGCATCCCATTATGCTCATTTTGGCTAAGAGGTAACTAATAGCATCTTATTTGTTGCTAGTGCTACTGAGAGCTTCATAGGTCTTCCTCCCAGGTAGATTGCACAACCACAGCAAAAAAAAAGAAACATCTTACACGTTTGAAAATCATCCTTCTTGTCATCTGTATCAAAAACTAGCATAAGCCTGTTTACCATCTCAAGCAAAATTTAATCATGTAATTGCAATAAAAATGTTTGGGCTTCCTACAACTAAGAGTGGCATTCAAGAAAAGTAGTATTAGAAGTATTGAATGGCTATGGCTTTCCAAAATCCGTTTTTAATTAAGCCCCCTTTTACTGTCTATGTTTTGTTTCCATCTTTCCTGCAAGTGCATGGAGTTAAAAAATAATCTTTCAGTCTCATCTGTTGTGGGTGGGGGAGGGGGAAAACCCCAAACCAAACAAAACTAAACACACAAACCCCACATATTGTGGATTATTTCAGACAAAATCGTACCATGTAAAGGGGTTGGAATGGACCTTAAAGATCATCCAGTCCCACCACCCCTGTCATGGGCAGGCACAGCTCTCCTTACACCAGGTTGCTCAAGGTCTTATCCAACCTGGCCTTGAACACTTTCGTGGATGGGGCATCTGCAGCCTCCCTGGGCAACTTGTGCCAGTGCTTCACCACCGTCCCAGTGGAGAATTTTTTCCTRATACCCAACCTAAAGTTCCACTCAGTGAGCTTGAACCCCTTATTTCTTGTCCTGTCACTACAGTTCAGAGTCCCTCTTCACTTCCTTTTAGGCCTCCTTCAGATACTGGAAATTTGTTATGAGATTTCCATGCAACCTTCTCCTCTCCAGGGTGAACAGCCCAAACTTTCTCAGCCTGTCTCTGTAGGGGAGATGCCCGAGTACACTTATAAACTTCGTGGCCTCTGTTGCTCCAATAGTTTCGTGTCCTTGTTATGCTGGGAGCACCAAAGCTGRACATTATTCCAGGTGGGGTCTGAGCGAGTGGAGTAGAGGGGGAGAGAATCCCCTCCCTCGCCTTGCTGCCCACGCTGCTTTGAATGCAGTCTGGAATATATTTGTCTTTGTGGGCTGCGAGCCCACGCTACCGGGTTATGTTGAGTTTTTCACCGAACATCCCCCCCGTGTTGGTTCTAAAACTAAAAAGCAATGGAATGATCCTKACCGGGATCAACGCTGACAGCCCGGCCCCGGGCGCCGTGTCCGCCTCCCGCTGCTTCCTCCTCCGGGACTACGGCTCCCAGCAGCGCCCGGGCTGAAAGTGAAAATAAGCGCCAGGTTACGCTCCTGTTTGCGCCCTCCCCTCCCTCCCTCCCTCCGTCCCTCCCGGCGGGCCGCACGTGTCCTTCCTTTCCCTTTTGTTTTCCGCCCGCAGGCCGGCTGCGCGCCCGGGACGCGCCCGCTCCCACCGGCACCGGGACCCGCCGCAGCTCCCCCCGGCCCTCCGCAGCAGCCGGGGAGCCGCGGGAGTGACGGRGCTGCGAGTCCGGGCTGCGCAGGGAAACTTTGCCGCTTCTTCTCGGCGCTCCCCACATGCGAGTGGACAGCGTGAAGCCGGCTGCTGCTCTTCCTGCCGCTCCGGGTCCTGCTCCTGACGCTCCTGCGGGTGCCGGGCCGGCGCTGCCCCCCCGCTCCGGCTGCTGCACCTGTGCCCGGCCCCGGAGCTGCGCCGCCGCTTCTCATCGCCATGTGGGACTAGGAGGGGTGCGGCGTTCTCCTCGGTGAACATGGATGCGGCGGGCAGGGCCGGCGGAGGGGAGCAGAGCCATCCCGGCAGCGGCGGGGACTCCCCCGGGGACACCTCCATGGACCGCTACCTGCGATCTCAGGGCTTGTACAGGAAGAAAGTGGCCAAGGATGGGTCCTGCCTTTTCAGGGCTGTGGCCGAGCAGGTAACTGGTTATATAAACAAAGCTCCTTCTCACGAAAGCATGGCAAATGGATGTCATTAGTGGGTGGTAATTAGTATTAAAACGCAGACAGGTATAGGTTAAGGTTATGTAGTCATGTGCCAGTGAAAAACATGATTTTGTTAAAAAAATTCCACCCTTCGAGGTGAGAGAAGTTCTGTGTGTACAGCTGCCTCGTGCCAYCAAGAAATCCTTATCTGTTGTGACCTTCCACTGCCTCCTCAGAGCTTTTTTTTCAGTGTACGATCTCAGCATTGGAATACAGCTGCTTGGTATGAGACTGGCTAGGAAGTGGGATTTAATGGAAAGAACTRAAAAGCCACGTTCTTAGTTTTGTTAATTAGTTTACTATAAAATTAGAGAAAGTGTCTAGTTTATTTTCTGTTCTTCCTGTTGAATTCCCCTCCCCCATTTCAGTGTTAGTGTTAAAGGAAAAAAGCGACAGCGTCATCTTGTCTTAAGTACAGGCAAACAGCAGTGGGAGCTCTGGTGCTTCTGATTGTGGGAACCCAGATTCCTGTGCTAATTATACACAGATCACTTCAAAAAAAAGAATTCYTTTCCCCACTGAATTGATAAGTGCAGGCAAGCAAATACTATTGATTGGAAGTGGGTGTTTTTTTTTATCTCAAGGGAATATATAGATAATATATATTKCTATTCTGACTTTTTAATTAATACATAGGTTTCTCTCACACTCTTGTGTTAATATAACTTTTTTCAACTATTACATTTTTAATGTCCCWTTTTTATTACAGAATCATTTAGGTTGAAATGATTTCTAAGAAAGTAAAGTCTCATTCAGAGTTACTAAGTGTTTATCTGMAAATTTGGTCTAATCTTTGTACTCTGCATTAAGAAAAACTGAACTGAATTCGAAAGTGATTTATAYTGAAGGTGGTGTGTAATAACTGTAAGAGACACTGCAATTTCAATTGTTTGAAACTCCTACAATGTAGTGAGATAACTTGGAACCTATGATGGAAGTAATAGTTTTCCAGTAGAGATTTGTAAAGGAAATAGAATTCAAGTGTCATATTGGGATCTGAATTCCTGGCTGGAGTATTTGGGCAACAGGCCTTTTAAAAGGAGAAAGTAAACACCCTTTGTGAGACTTGGTTGGATTTCCTTTGAATGAGTGCATGTTGGTAGCTGACTTTCTGATCTACTACTATAACTTACTTCAGTTGACTGAAGTCCTTTACAAAGGAGTCAATTAGAGAGTAACAATAAATGCTATTCATTTGCTTAGTAAATCCTCATAAAATTGAAGGTTTGAATTTAGCAAACCTGTGAATTCTGCAGTTACTTATTTTTTTATTAAGTAATTGAGGTTTCACTTGTGTGAAGATGTTGCTACTGAATGAGTATGCTTGTTAAATATTCTTAAAAATAAAACWAGAGTATTTCCAAGCCTGTATTTAGGCAGGAGTCATTAATTATTTGTGGCCTGTCATCAAAACTCCTGTGATCCAATGTCACCTTGTTCTCTTTCTCCCTTTGTAGGTGTTGCACTCTCAGTCTCGWCACATTGATGTTAGGATGGCTTGTGTAGACTATCTTCGGAAAAATAGGGAGAAATTTGAAGCAGTAAGTATTTTTGTTTTCTTTGTCAGCATTTAAAAGAAGTTACATTATTCCTTCCACTTTGGAATATTCTGCACCTCCCTGTGTTTGTGGCAATATTCATCATAGCTAAATACCAGCTRATGCTCTTTGAATTAGTTAGCACATATGTGGTAGTATCTCATTTTTGTAAGCCTGAAAAAGTCTATGCACTCCTTGGACTGGCATAACGTGGAGTGGGAGAATTTTTCATTAAGAACGAGGAATAAACTTACTTAAACTTTATTAGTTGGTGGTGAAGCTATTAAAATCTGTGTTTTAATGACTACTTTAGGATTATTATGCCTATCTTAATAAAAGTCATAAAATGTTATTTTTTGCTAATTAATTGCTTTTCCAATGTATAAGGGATTTGACTGTTGAAATTAATGACTTTTTTCAGAGCCTGCAGTTTATTATTCATTGGCACTGTAGATTTTTTTCCACTAAACATCTGGAATAAGTTTTTCATCAAGCATGGATGCAAAATATTTTGATATTGATCTATACTTCGTCAATTCCATCAGTGTTAACATCATAAAATCCAWTGTTTTCTTCCTTTTAAAAGAACATTATTCAATAACAGTGCTCCTGTTTGTGTTTGTATGGTTTCTAGTGTATATATTGTTACTTGATTTCCAGGATAGGCAAAAGGAGAGTTGAGGATGTAAGCATTTGCTACTAGGGGATTATTAGTTAGCTCTCTTTTGCTGTTCTAAGTTTACCCAGATCCAAAATAAAAAAGACTGTTTTAGATATGCACTGGCATAGGGAAGAGAAGGAAGGTAGGAATAAGGGTGTGTGTGCTATAATTTCTGACAAAGTGTGCTGTGCTCAAATGTGACTGATCACATAAATGTAGAAGTTATCAGGAATTAGTGATATAAAATAGAGCACATCTCTCGGGGACAATGCTGCTGTGACTTGACTCCTTCCAGTTGTTTCCAGTCCACCTAGGACTTACCAACTCTTGGATCAGTCTCTTCTTACTTTAGTTTTTCACTGCTGACTTTTTAAGTCCCTTTCCTTCCAGAATTATCCCATTCACTCCAATAACTGCTTTTGTACTTTTGTTCTCTTGTTTCATTGTGCAGTGTTTTGAAATACTTGCCCTTTTTGACTCTTTAAGTGTATATTGTTTCCCACGTTGTTGTTTCCAATCCCTGCTTTATTAGCCCTAGCTGGTTTTAGTATGGTTTTAATATTGTTTTGGTCTGTTTGGTCTGTCCTGCGAACTCCTGGTCCCAGTGGTTTTGGTTTTTTTCCTCAGGCATTATCCAAGGTATGACGTCTCCTTTGTCCATTTTTGCTGTCCTTCTGAAAAGTCTTCTTTTTAAAAGTTTCTTGTGAGAGCAGGTGTTTCATATTTGTTTTCATTTCCCAGTGTTCTTCCTCCTTGGGTACCTTGCTTAAGCTCTGCTGATCTCCTTTGCTGCCTCTATCTCTCACTGTGCTTTGTGTTTTCTGTCTGGAATACAGCATTGTTATCTCTCTTTAAAAAACCCAAACAGCATAAGCAACAAATGCCTCTTTCCCTAATCTCCTGGTTCAGTTGTTTACTCGCTGCCTCCTCAGTAGTTGTGCTTTATTGATGTGCACGGAAGGTACTTACTGAAGTTCCTTTTCTGTTTATTATAATCACTTAAGCTTGAATTTGTGTCTCTTTGGTTCCACTGATACTGTTATAATCAAAATTTCAGGAGTGTAACCACCATCTTCATTTCCATCCTCAGCCTTTCCTGAAGTGTTGTCTTGAATTGCTGCTGTGTTACATTCTTTCTCCAACTTACAGTTTCCTGTGTGAACTTCCTGAGTCCYATCCTTTCTTCCTCTGTGCATTATCTATAGGTCATTTAATTTTGACACAAAAAGTAACTGCTGTCTGTGATCATGTTTTCCTGATCCACCTTTTTAACTTCACACCTGATTGCTTCTATCTAAATTAAAAGGTTGGGCCAGGCTTTTTGATTTTTCAAACTTCAAAATGGCTAAAGCAGAGCTCATTCTCCTTATTATCTTGTTTCTTAGTCACTGCCCACAGTGACTAAGTGACACTTAGTCACTGCCCACAGTGACAGTAAAGAGCCATCCAGCTTGCAGTTTAAGTTCATAAAGGGATTTCCTTCTTTATTTGAACCTCTGTGAGTCTGTATTTTAAGTAAATCAAGCAGATTGTGACTGAAGTGCAATTCTTAAATGCAGCCTCTCTGTGACCAGCGTGGCTGAAACACTGATGTCTCAATTACTGCAGCATCTTTCTCTGGTCTTGGCAAATGTGAATTTGGCCTCTTCATGTGTATTAGGGACTGCAGATGAAGGATCACTTTCTTAGGCTGGCACTTAAAGTGTACCCTGATTGTTTGCATCCTTTGTGGAAAGTAAAAGCAATTTGTTTGAAGTGATACAGAAAAGTAAAAAACGTGCTCTATGAGTCGGCTGTACTAGGTCTTATCACTGCTTCCATACTACAGAAATGTGACTCCTGTTCCTGATTGTCCATTGCTGTTTATATACCAAGATATTTGCATTAAAGTGCACATGTCCTCTCTTCAGTGATGCTCTGCATGCCTGGGATGAATTACCTATRAAGATCTGCATGACATCATCTTTGCTTTCTTCCAGATTCCCCATTTGGCTGTGGAATTTCTTTTTTTGGGGGTTTTCTTTSGTTTATTTTGGCTTGTGTGAGGACTTTGAAAGCTGTTGATGTGGTTATTTTCTGCAAGGCAAATCTGTGTGACTGTTTATTCCATCATCTCGACATCACTTTGTATGGAGGTTGTAAGCTTCTTGAGGGCCAGGGAGTCTTCAGCTTCTTGTGGTACATTCCCTTAGTACAGTGGATTGTAGACTGGGTATTTCCACATGCTGCTTTATTAAATATAACTAATTACTGCTGGTATTTTTTTTAAATACAGTTCATGGATCGGCCATTTGAAGATTATTTAAGAAATGTGGAAAATCCACAGGTACGTTAAATTTGGTTTATAACAGAAAGCAATACTTTTGTTGAAGTTKATGGTAACTGGATTTTTTTTTCCTCTGAAGTGCTTTTAATTGCGCTTAGGAGGTCTTCAAATTATGTGAATATGTACTTTCMTGTGGGTTTATGTTACTCTCTATTGTAAAATGGTTTTGGGAATTGTATTTTTATCTCTTGCTGAACTCCAGATTCAATGTTCATATATTTATTTTAAACAATGATTTCTTGCATGTCTTGATCTGCTTGTGAGGAGGTTTAATTGTGTGTTTGTTTGAATGTAGTTTTCTTTTGTTTTCAATACAGGAATGGGTTGGACAAGTAGAAATAAGTGCCCTTTCTCTTATGTACAAGTAAGAAAAYCTTTCAATATGTTTTACTGAGATGATTTCTGTTGTTTTGTTAGTAAATCAGTTGGAAGAGCAAAGATGGAAATATGTTATGCCATAGTCCTCCATAAAATTACAAATATTCTTTGAAAATTGCTGCTGTCAAGGGATTAAATAGGAATAGGAGAGTGAGTTTAGAAAATGACATTTAATCTGGGATGTGAATTCAGGTTTGCAATAATGACATGTATCTCACCTCCACAGCCAATTGTGGGTAATTTCATATGGTTTGTATTTTGTTAATTTTAATATCTGAGTTCTTCTGTTAAAATTGCGTTTCTTTCTGTTTCTCACCAAAGCTTTARTACTTTTGCTAAGCTGTGGGCTGTGCCTCTTTCCTATATACTAAATCTTTCTTCACAAAATAGTRAGAAACAATGTGAATATTTATAAAAGCTTTCTAACTACTGTGTGAGTGAGTAATCCACAGCATCTTCACTGTCTGCTGTTTGTAAACACATTAAAAATTCACTATTTAAGAATGTTTGCTGTAAATTAATGGCTTTGCCYGTTGATGAGACAGCTGATAAGAGGAAAGAATCAAACTAGTTAAATATTCCTTTTGGGCAGTTTGAACACTACATAGGGGAAATCACATGGAATTCTATCTTTGCATTCTGTGAGGTGAATGGGACCGCTCAGAGCTCTGTGTGCTCATGGGTGGGGCAGAACTGAGCTGGACGTCAGAGCAGAGTTTGGCTCAAGAGGTTTAGTGAGAAGGTCTGATGGTTAGACTGAGCCAGGTTGTAGAGGGATATAACTCAATTTAAGTCAACAGAATTGGATGCCTAATCACATCAGAAACTGGGCACTCATGATCTGTTGTATTTCTGGCCATGAGAAATGTATTCCCATAAAYAGGAGTTTATTTTGCTGTCATGCCACATCAGTATCCAGGGCCACAGCTGATGAATGAATAGAGAAAAATCCTGGTTGATAATAGCAGGTTTTTTTAATCTCCACTGTAAGCATCAGGAGGGTTTTGTGGCATAGATGTGAGTCTGTGTGGTATTTCACTGCAGAGGTGAGCACACAAGAGTCGTTATTGCCATGCTTGTTTTGGGAAGACAGGCTTCTGTTGAAAAGGCGGTTTAGAGTCTCAGGGAAAGTATGAATGGGGGTGGAGGTAGGGGAAAGACTTGCTCCTGTTCCTGCATGCTTAAGGGAAGCAGAAGTAAGAATTTCCCGTTCTGTTCCAAGTGAATAAGTAAGCAAGTTTCAGACTTTCCAGGCATAGGATAGAATCAAATCAGKTTTGATTTTGCTTTTATTCTTCAGCGCTCTCACAAATATAATTTGGTTGTCTTGTAAATTTTTCTTTACTCCCTGAAGTGAGTGGGTCTTTGAGCTATAAAATACTTTTCTTCTTAGAACAGCTTTTTTTCTGAGAAATTGTAAGAAATTTGGTTTATTTTTTTTAAATCCAGAAGCTGTGAATATACTCAATTACTTTGCAAGACTGATAGCACTTCTGCCTGTGTGAGGAAGAAGTTGAAGGAAGTGACAGGTTGCTAAGCAAAGAGCTCAGAGGGAAGATTAAGCATGAAAGAGAGGAAAAAATCAGTTTAAAATCATGATAGAGATTGATTATAGCAGGTGAAAACTAGAAAACACCTAGTGAAAACACTAGGTGTTTTCTGTGGTTATGTATGTTCCTTGAATTTCACTTCAAGGCTCAAATTTTTATTGATACCACTTTTAAAATAAATTCTCAACTGCTACTTTCTTTTTCCCCCAGGAAAGATTTCATAATATACCAGGAGCCAAATGCCTCTCCTTCACGTGTAACTGAAAATGGCTTTTCTGATAAGGTAAAAATATTTTGGCCATTGCGATAGGCTGAACTAAGATTACTTTATAAACAGCAAGTAGTTGCACRTGAGTTTTATTATTCAACACAATGAAATGTTCTGAGAATTCAATTTTAGTTTATTTTGTACCTATTTARGGCAGCTATGCTGTTAATACATGCAGCATTTCTTTTTAAATAGATGGTATTTGAGGTGTGGTGTATCTTCCTGCTAATATAAAATTCTGTAAAAATCAGTTTTCAGCTGGTATCTCACGTCTGTCTTAAATTCTTCTTGATTTTTGTTAAAATTCTGTTTGGTTTAAAGGACATCTGCCAAACATTTTGATTRTTTTATTGATATATTGAGATCCTGAGAGATAACAAAGCACATGGGTACCGTAATTTAACTTAAAAGATCATACTTCTAAAAGTCAAGTGAGATGCAAAGCCTAAAATGCATCTGTGTCTTTTTTTAATAGGTGTTGCTGTGCTTCTCAAATGGAAACCACTATGATATTGTGTATCCCATAGAGTATGCAGAGAAGGCTGCTCTGTGCCAGTGTAAGTATTAAGCTGATTAGTTTAAAGCATATTTTTACCAAAAATCTTAAAAATATCAGTGTTAGGTTTCAGAAAAGGCTCTGCATGAAAGTTTATTATAGTAATTTTTGGTAGCTTGGTTTCCAGTTTGAGTTGTCAATGACTGTATGGTTACTATCTGTAATGGTGGGATAAAAACTGATTTAGRTGGTAATTGATTTTGCTCTTCCACTTTCTCCTTGTCTTTCCCAGCTCTGCTGTATGAGTTGCTTTATGAAAAAGTGTTTGATATGGATGTAAAGAAAATCATGTCAGAACTTAGTGCTGTTGGTGTGGCAGAGGAAAGTAATGGCAGCAGTGAAGTTTCTGCTTCAGATTCAGAAGATGACAATTACAGGTAAATRAGATTGAAAAGTTGATGTAAGATGCCTATGAACACATGTTTRATGAGTTTTCTGAATTTCTGGTGGGTAGTAGAATCCAGCAGTTAGGGTTGAAAATGTTTACAAATTACTAAGAAAAGAAGCAGAAAGAGGTAGGGTTAGAAGTGTGAAAGAATGCAGTGTGTAATCTTCACTTACTTAAGTCAGGATTCTGGCTCCCCTGTTTTTCCAGCAGTCTCACTACATAATGGATTATTGCCATTGTAACGTGTTCCTCTTCCTGTTTAGAATAGCAGAATTTCCTGGGAGAATTGTCAGTGTGCCAGTCTGGCATGGTAAACTCTGTGAGAATTACTTTATTTATTCTGCAACTGAGTAGAGTTACAGGAATCTAATGCAGTTTGTGTGGCTTCCACATCTGGGGGCTGGAATGCCTGCTTGAGGTGAAGCTAATGGAGACACAGAGGTGTAGCTTGCTCCATTTTGATCTTGATCTTTATGAGGTGGGTTTATATCCTTTTTGTTGGGTGCTCTAGCAAGCTTTGAGATTTTGACCTGATTCCTTTTGCCCAGCAAGTCTTTCACAGTGCCATTTTTGAAGTTACATATTGTCAGGTTTTCTTCTKTTTAATAGGGTTCTCAACTCTGGCTTGTATAAAATTCCATGGAAACTGTGGAGATGTTGCTGCATTAGTGGATAATGTCCCCTCTTCCCACTGATTGTTACAGTCCTTCCTTAGGGCTCTGCTGTATGGCAGAAGTTCCTTGAGCACTTGGGAGCTGGTTACTCCTCCAGGTTGAAAACAACAGAAAGGAAGATTGTGGAAATCATAAATCAAAAAATWGTTCTGGGAAAGGGATTAGCTTATTTTTGTGTTTGCAAGAAATAAAAAAAACTAGGGAATGTTGCCAATTAAAATATGAAGTATTTCCGCCTCAGGAAACAATTATTATAGTTAAATGTCAGAGAGTGGAAATCTTTATTCCTTTCTTTCTTGGAGCTTTCCTGGGATTCAAAGGCAGTAGCCTTATCCTGTATCTTTGGGATTCCTAAGAAAATATCCTGGTAACCTTCTTAGCACYTTTGGAAATAAGGTCATATGCTCACTGGAGACTCTGGAACTCAGTGTTTTTGATTTAAACCATATGTTCTATAATGCAAGGGCCGGTGTGTGAGTATGTGACTCTTGATCTAGTTATAAAACAAATTACCAACTTTTTGCTGTGTTTATGAAGTCCTAAATATTTTCCTTGTCTGAAAGTTGACTTCAGCTTGTTTCATCAGCTAGTTTTCCAGAAGATACTTTTTATTTTGTAAATACAAACTTCAGTTTTATTGTTATTGAATGTAATCGTTTTGGGAGAAATTAATGCTGAGAGTTGTCTACTGTTGTTGTAGGGAAAAATACTTGGACTTTCTTTGTGGAAAGTATTTTTCCAGTGATGTCAGGGGTAGAAAAATGAGAGTAAATTAGAGTGCCTGATGCAAGTTAACTAACAGAGTAGGTTTTGGTTTTGAGGGTTTTTTTTAGTATCTACTTTTGCAAAATTTTCCTCAAGTAGTTGCATTTTAAGAGAACTTCTGTTTCCCTTGCCTTCTCCCTCTTGCTTTTTATTTTCAAAGTGAAAACGAAGTCAGTGCACATAAGATAGACTTCCTAAAAGTTGTTTAAACCCAAAAATCTTATTTCTATATAATATAAAGATGTAGTTTTTATTTTAGACAGGTATTTCACTTCAAGAGATGAGAATGTTCTGTGGTATGCTTATTGTCAGGAAAACATGTAGAGAATGGTATATTTACCGTATATTCAATATATTTACCGCTTCTAGAGGTGTCTTAGCAGATTTTTCAGGCCTTAGTGATATTGTAATTCATTATAAAATCATAACTTGCCTCTGCCCTATTACAGAAGTAAAGCTACAACAGTTAGTGATATGAATGGAATGAAGTCTCTTTCTGGCAACAAGGTATTTATGTGTTGAGATTTATTTTCTTTCTAATAACTTGTACTCTGCTGTATTTTTTAGTATTTTATGTTCACAAATCTTGAGTTAATAGTTTCCCTAACATGTAACATCCTAAAAACTACCTACTTCTTTGAAAATAATGTATATTTTTGACGTGCTCAGAGGCAGATAGTGTACTTTCTAGTGCTTCTTAGTTTTGTGCTGGTATGGTTAAAAGAACACCATTTAACTTTTTTTCCCAAGCTCTCATGCTTTGTATATTTTCAKCTTCTCTGTGTTTCAGTACAAGGCTTGAGGACTGTGATTGAAAAAGGGAAAACTGAACATATCTATGTAGTTGACCGTTATGAACTTTGTTCTGTTCCATACAGCACCTTGAGAGCAATGGGAATCCCAGCTTGTTGGTCCTGCCTAAAAAGGTTCTGAAATCGCTTGATCCCTTGGTTTACAGAAACGTTGAATATGATGTTTGGCTCCAGTCCAAGTGGGGTGAGTAACAGTTCAAAGTTGCAGCTTTTGCCAGCTGTGTGAAGTGAAGCCCTCCTGAAGAACTGATGCAAATGGCAGTTGGGGTTTAGTTTGTTTTTCCTCACATGGATCCGTGGGCAGACTTAGGGCCTGAACACCTGGTTTGTGTTTTTGCTGCATCAAAAAAGTAACTCTTCTGGTATATTTGAATGAACAGTATATTACTGCTTCTGTATTTGCAGATCAGCAAAAACAAGATTTCTCTATTGCTGCTGGCATGCAATACTCCATTGGAGATAAATGTAAAGTAAGTAATACTGAATTATAGTTTATATAATTCAAATTGACATTTTCCTCAAGATGTCTATTTTCCCTGTTTGTTAACTGGGGTCCTCAATGCTAAGCATGGAATTGAAGATCCGTGAATTTGTCTTTGACASTGGAGATAGTGATTACAGTTTGTGAATAGGCTTTGGTAAAATCTCAGTACTTCCAAATAATGAAGTACAGSTTGCTTTAGTTACTGCAGATCCTGAGGTCTTGGGCAATTCTTTGTTTTAGGGTGTTGCAAGTGTGTTATACAATTGGTCTTTAAATTCTATTAAGATTTGTATTAAGTGTTACTGCTTAAGAAGAAGCGAGGTTTGCCATTAAAATTATTACACTGAAGATTAGTCTCTTTAAGTATRTTAACTGAACTGGTGGTACTTGGCTAAACATGTTTCTTTCTAGGATGTTTGACCATCTATTAAAATTATTAATWATAATGAAAAGTATTCAGTTTGAGTAATCATGCAGCACAGGGGCTCTTTCASTTCGTACTTTTTTGTTTGTGTAGTGGAATCAGCCATAGTACCTGAGCTGCAGGGAAAACGTCTCTAAACTTGAGAAAAAAACTTAAGCCAAAATACCCCACAAAGCCCCAAGCCCCCAATCCCCCATCCCCCCCAAACCAAAACCAACCTAATGCMGAGTTGATTATTTATTGCTTAATARCACAGGCTTAAAATTTRCWCTTAGGACCCTAAGGCTGTTTTGTCTAGTATTTTTTACGGGTACAGATATTATTAGTAGAAAAAACTCTGGTAATKAACATATTCTCTTGGTCAAATTTTATATATATGTGGCAAGACAGTAAATATATGGGGTAAAAAACAWGGGAAGAAAAGATGAAGTAAATAGTGAAAAGTCGAGTTAACCAATTTGATACAACTGTAAAGCCAAATACTGTAGTGAAACATTAATAAATTTATTTTTTAATCAGCAGAAGAATTTTAAGAACATAGAATGTCAGTCAGACAAGTAACACTATGATCATGTCTCAAGAACTTCTTTTGGTTGTTATTGAAAAAATCTTCTGAAGAATTAACTCCCAAAATAATCGTTGTTCATTATGTTCATAATTAGACTAAGTTTCACTGAAGTGAAGTGGATTTTAATATGGAAAAGCTTTGAGTTTTATTGTAAGCGAGAGTGTTTTCAGTGAAGCTGAAAAGCCTGGATGCACTGATTGCTTTTAACTCTCTCATGTGGTTTTGAAAAGCATCTTTCATTATGTAGTGTTACCCAGCAAACTGTTTGGTTAGTGTTGTGTGTGTGCTTGTTTTAATGGTAATTTTATTTCCTTTTGAAGAAACAATAGGGATTAGAGATTGGYTTTTGATTCATGTACTAAATTGTGATGTGTATTTCTCAGGTCTTCTGTTGCCCAGATGAAAAGTTCTGTTTCTAACGTTGCTGATATTTTAAAGAGTTACCTCCTCTCACTGCCATATTTTGAAATAATCCACTTTTTTTTTCTTATTCTTTTTCTTACAGGTGCGCTTAGACCATAACGGGAAATTTTATAATGCCCATATTCAAGAAGTTTATTCAGAGAATGGGCCAGTCGTTGTATTTGTAGAAGAGCTTGGAGCAAAGTAAGTGCTTAATCTCCTGGAAGAGAGCACCAAACTGAACAAAGCATTACTTTGGTCCAGAAATGTATCTTTACTTGGAGCAGTACTATTGCAAATTTTTAAGAAAACAGCATTCTGATTGAAAAAGGAAAAATTGCTAATCACTTTATATTTYTTTCTGTAGTGCTGAGTAGTCTGTGTATTTCTTGCAGAGTAGAACAGTAACTACATTAGTAGTTTAATTTTTTTTTGCACACAATTCAATCCTAAACAGATTGACACTAGCCTAATGTGTTGATTGCACTTAATAATTCGATGTTAGATTTGTGGCAAGCTTTCCATATTGAAAGGTCTATTAAAGCACCGAGCTCCTCTGYTGGTTGAGTGGCTCTGCCTGATTTCATCCAGAGTGCCAAGTTGCTGTTTAGGTCAGCATTATCTTTGCCCTACCTGGGACAAGAAAGTGTTTRAAGTTGTTGTGGTTTACAGATTTGATGGTTTTGGTTGTGCAGGGTGGGTTTTTTTCTTTGTTAGCATTTTTGTTGGGGAGGGGGAAAGGAGAGAGCAAGGAAATCTTGAGCTCTGCTGTAAGTCCTGTGAYTTCTGGGTCAAAAAATTCCACATTTGGGTGTAGTTTGGGAAGAGGAAACATTTTCAGTCAGGGTAAATGAGTGAAGGAGAAAGATACCCATTAATCTCATTTGATCTTCATTAAAAAAAAAAAGAAAAAGTGAGATCTAAAGATTATCTTGCAGTTTGAACCCTTTTGAAAATGAAATTTAACCTGTTTGAATGTCTGCCTTTCAAATAATGTAAACAGTTGTTTGGACATCCTACAGCATGCTCAATTAATATAGCAGTAATCGTTCTGGGATATACACCAATATATACCAGTATATACGATATATAACAATATAACACCTTTCAATCCTGGCACCTTTTGAAGTGTTGGTAATAAGTTTATCTAAGTATGGTGCCTGTATCTAAGTAAATTGCTTTTTGGGATCATTCTCCTTTTCTGTCTGCCCTGAAGACATTAYAATAGGCACTTTACAAATGGCTGATCATTCTTTACTGGATAAGTTTGTGTAAACTTATCAGTTTTATGTTAAAAAAAAAGTTTGCTGTTTCGCACATTGCTTGAGCATAATCATAAAGACAAAGGACTTTGAATGCAATGTTYTCAAAAGTGGAAAGATCTGTCAGTATTAGTGAACATGTGGTATTAATTTATGCAAGCCCCAGTCTGATCTTCTAAGATATTATTCCCTCCATAATTCCTTGTTTTGTAGGCATGCTGTCTCACTGAAGAGCCTTAAACCTCTTCCACAGACCTCTCCTATGGAGGGCTGGAACACTGTGCCAGGGAAGAAGATAAAAAAGTTTTACCCAACATGGGGGCAGAATGCTCAGCCTGGTAGGACTGTACCTGTCATTGTGTGGCAGAATCTTCTTTTAAAGATATTTTGTCTCAAAAAGCGTAAAAAGTGATTGAAATGAAAGTCTTACCCATTTTTCATGTTTTCATGTTGTTATCGCAGATGCAGAGTGCAGAGGGCCAAAGAATCAGAGCAAATCAATCAAACCCCAGTCAGCACTACCTCCTCGACTTCAGCATACTGTGGGAACCAGGCAGCACCAGTTCTTGAGTTCTGGGCCCCAACCTCATCAGACCTCAACTGAGCAAAAAGCTCCAGGCAGGAATCCTTCCCAGTCTGTAAGGTAAAACTGCAAACAGCATTTTTTTTGGCTGGAACTCTGACCGAGCTTCTGGAAGCCCAGGTGGCTGCTTCCTATGCTTCTGGCATGCTCTTTTGAAATATGTTGCCACTGAATTCTTAAGAAGTGTCCCAAGTCCATAAGAATACACACAAGTAGAGGAAAAATAACTTTTTTTTCTTGCATGGCAGTAACTGCCTACAAAGCTTCATTTTTTTTTTTGGAAGGTGGATGTTGGTATGGTTTTTTTGTTGTAGTTGTTTTTATTTTTGTTYGAGGCTTAAATAATGTTGAAAGTGCTTCTTGGGCTTGGCTAAGATCTTGACTGAGCTTTTGCTGAACCTGTCATAGGGGACTGCTTCGTGTTCTGACTTAACCACTTAAAAGGAGCWTGAGAACAGCATTTTGCCTGCATTTGTTGGCAGTGATTTTTTGATTCCCCAGGCTGCTGCAGTGGAGTTTGTTTCCATCATTGCGTCTTCCTTCTTCCTCCTACCCCACGCATTYGTATTGTGTTTGATTTTCTTGGTCCAAGCAATCCCACTTCCTTTTTTAATGTGCAGAAAAATGGAGCGTGAGAGAAGTGAGGAGCTGAGCCATGGCAGCAGGGATTGTAACTACTTTGGGCTGTCGCCGGAGGAGCGCAGGGAGAAGCAGGCCATAGAGGAGTCTCGTTCCCTTTATGAGATCCAGCAGCGGGACGAACAAGCTTTTCCTGCTCTTTGCAATGTATGTTTTATTCATTGGAATTAATAGTGCATTTTCCATACTTGTCTGTGAACCTTTCATTAGCAATTGGTTTGCTGTCTGTGAATCACACTACTGTTCCAAAATTAAGGATATTTATTTTWCACTCACTTTCTGTTTGGGAATACGAGTCTCTACAATGCTTTATATGTTAAAGATAAGAAAATACACACAGTAGTTCATCCTGGGAATAACTGAACATCCAYTGTACCCAGTTCTTTAGGCATGTAAATACGGGAGACACACAAGCATCTGTAGCTGGATGATTCTGGAGAGATCATCCTATTGATGCAATTTTAATGAAAGTGAGAGGGAGTCTCAGCACTTCCAGGGAAGTGAGCAGATCCTGTGGGTAGAGAGCTACTMCTCTCTACACAGGTTTGTTCTAGTGTGGGGCTTTTTGGGTTTAAATCCTAGGGCAAACAGAAACAAGAACAAGGCTGGAAAGAATGAGTAGGTGAAAGACTGAAGCCTAAGGGTCTCTCCTAAGGTTGCTCTCTCCATGTRAGCAGTAACAGTTTGCTGTTTCGCTCACCTGTGGGAGGAGGGGTGATTTATTTTCTTAAGTGAAACAGATTTCACCAAGTCAGCTATTGACGTGAATGCTCTTAAAGGACACTTGGCAAAATGTAGCAACGARTGAGAAAGAGTGGATGAATCTGCAGGATACTGAGCCAGACTCTMCCACCACCACCTTTCTGCCTATCACAGACATGAATATGATGTGTCATGAAGACATGATATGATAATAGCAGATGATGGCCAAGTGTCATTGGACTAATTACATAAAGTGATATTTCTGCTTTTGTCAACTTTCTTAGAATCAGTCAGTCTGTCAGGCTGCTACACAGACTGTGGATAATGTAAACCAGAAAAAGTYGTCAAATAATGAAAGAAGAAACAGCAAGTGGACAGCAGAGGTGGAAGAACAGAAGGAGAAAGGTAAAAACTAAATGGATTTAAATCACGGCTTTTAGTTTTGTTTTATTTGCTTGGTTTTGTTACCAGCCTCAGAATTTATTCATGATAGGGCATCTGTTTAGGCAGTGAGAGAAAAGTTATYGTAAGTAGCAGTAGCAAAGTAAACTGGGCTCCAAGTAGCAAGGGTGTGGTTTGTGAGGAAAGTACATTTTCCTGCTTTCTGAATGTGGCTGAGAGAGCAGACTTCTGGCTTGGATTTTTGTAGTAAATGGGAAGAAAAACGAGAGAAACTAAAAGACTTATTARAGCTACCCTAAATTAGATCCTTTTGAAATTCTAGAGTGTGCAGCAGAAAGTTCCAGTGGGGGAGCATTAAGAATAATTTATGAGAGAATCAGGTAAAAGTATTCAATGTGGAATGGTTAAGAATTAGCATACTATGGTACAGAAAGGGGAGATGATGATTTACAGAACAGTTGGAAAACCAAACCTGTTTACAGTAGAAAGATCTGTCACATSATCAAAAGTTGTTTTTCTCCCTCCTCACCATTAGTTTCAACACTCTTTAGCTTCTCTTCATGGACTCAAAGCTTTTCCTCTTCTGTGAGGAAAYAGAACATGGCAGTAAGAGATGAAAGCTGTGGCTGTTAGGAGGTAGTAAACCTTTGCTGATTGCAATGGCTAGTGGTTGGTGGGAATTTTTAATTAGTATTTTTAAAACTTTTTTGTCCTGTCACCTTTGCCATAACTAAAACCCAAATTTGATCTTTGCATTTTCCTCTTTTTTTTTTTCCTGATTAAATAAAATTCAGACTCTTTAGTCTCCTCATAGAAGCTACCCCTTCACTCAATTTTTCTAAATTTTTTTTGTTTTGTTCCCTTATCTCTGGTAACAGCAGATGCATTGCTGCTGTCTGTTTATGGTATGTGTGCTCCTTAGTTCCTCTTACAAGATGGAATCCTTTYTTGAGTGGTCTCACAAGGACCCATCTTACCTGTTTTTCATTCTCCAARTATCTGAAAACTTGTGTCATTTACAAACCTGTTTGAYCAACAATGCCAAAAGAAACGTTCACATAGAGAAAGCTCTTTACTCCAGTCATGATGGATTTGGCTGAAGAGCGTGGCCTTTCCATCTTTCTCTGCTTTTTGTGATGCTCTGGTTTGCATTGTCTCTTGTGAACTAGGTTAATAATCCTATGGGAATCAGGTGTACTTCCTTCTAGTGTCAGGGGTTCCTATTGCTGCTTGGGCAATTGGCAGTAATTCCCAAAATCAATACTGTTTCCATTTATGCTGTTGTCTAGTTGTGACAGGATATAATAAGCTTTTAAAAAGTCCCTATCTACTACTGATAAACTTCTGGGTATGGGTTTGATTGACAAGCMGTGGTAGCCAGGTCTGAACATAAACCAGAATGGGAAGAACTTACTACAGATAGTACAGATCTTATGTCGTGACTGTTTTTTTACACTATCTGCCCCACTGAAGTGTTTGCTGGTGCCTGAGAAATAAAACTTTGTGCAGCAGTCTGAAAACTTTTTTAGTTCTTTTAATCCACTGAAACATTCTAAACTGTTTTTTTACTCAGCCAAAASTAGACAAGACTTTGAGCTTCTGTTTTCTTAACACTTGAAAATGAAAATGCAGATCAGAACACTTTCACTTTAAGCAAAGTACAAACTTCTGTTTCATTAGGAGCAATTTAGGATGARTATGTTTAAAGAGACAGCTGTATTTCATTCCTGCTTCCCCCAAGCATCACTTGAATGGTTACCAAATGTCAGTAAAGAATTCTGTAGAGCTTGGAGAACTCAGGTTTAAGTAGCTGCTCTGTTATTGCCCGAACAACTGTTTTGTTTTTTAGGTTGCTTTGATCTTTGGTAAAAATAGAAATCTAAAATTGCTGAAGTAATATATACTGAGGTATAGATTTGGTTTTGAAAGTTTAATTTTGGAAAGACAAACTAACTGGCTTAAGTTGTGATAGCCATAAGTGGTGTAATGGTTCATTTACTAGGTTATGTCTTGGTGTTGCAGAGTCAAATTCCAGGCAGATCCACTTAAGTCAGAAGCTTGAGCCAAATTCATCTGAGGTAATCTTAAAGAAAAGACCAAATTTTTTTTTAATGTTATTGCTTCTCTGATACATGATTAGCAGAGCAATAGCTGCCTTTAGAGCTGTGATTGCTGCTGCTGCTTTACAGCTTTTAGTGAAATACTCCTAAGGTTGGGGGCTTGTACCTTCTGTGAGCTTTCCTCAGCCCTGTAACCCATACCTATAGTTCTTCTCTGCAATCGGAGTCCTCAAACCTGGGCTATCGAGAGCACTTACGAATCTGGATTTGTAATTGCTTAGTACAGTTTCTACTTTCAGTATAATGGACCACAGAAGAATTGATGTTTGCTAATAGCTACTGTGCTAACAGACCATGAGCTCTGAAGTTCAGTGAAGATTTGTGGCCTCTTGTTGGCTTTTAACCTTTGCTGTCCTTTCAATGAGCAAAATGTTACACTTACGTAATAGTGATGGGTGCTTAGCTCACTTTGTATGGAGTATGGTTTACTGTTTTTGAATAACTCTTTGTAAAATTGATCTTACTATTAGACTAGCTGTGTCTGTTGTTTTTAACTTTGCTTTAGAAGAATAGTCAAGATGAGAGTTATCCAAAAGCTTCATCTCCTTTGGAACAAGTTAAAACAGATTCTCCGATTCTTGCTGAGCAAGTAAGAAATGTTTGTTTGATTTCAAAGTTTTCCAGTCAGGAGACTTCAGACAAAGGGGAGCTTCATCACAGCCACGTATGTATTACAATACTGGCTTTTAATTACAGCCATTTCTATGGTGATAATGCTAAAATTTCATATTTACAGTTAGAAATATGYTATGTCCAACATAAAGAATGTAAAAGGACAACCCTTGATAGAAAAGTATATCTATTCTTTTCTGAGAGAGGGATTATTTCATATCTTTCTACCAAGGTTACTATGGTTTTCCCTTCAAATTTTTTACCTTAGCTTTTTCAGTTTTCTTCAACGTTATTGGTAATTTCTTGTGGGTGGCTTTTCTTCTGGGTGGGAGATACKTAAGTGTGATGGTTGTGAAGGTGGYTCCAGTGCTGATGGCTCTGTGGTACAGGCATGWGCTGGATAGAGCTGAGAGCAGAGCTGTTCACATAGTGGTGTAGCTCAGGTCTCTGGATATGTTCCTAGTTAATACTTCCCCATGATGATGATAGGAGTCTGGATAAGACTGAGTCATCAAGATCACCAACCATGGTGTGATTTAGCTTTGTTTTTACAGAACCTGAGCGAGTGCTTGCCGAGTGTAACTCCGACACCTTCTCCAGTCTTCTCTGAGGTGCATTTACCTCCAGCAGTGCCTTCTGTACCAGCCATTGTGCCAGCTTGGCCAAGTGAGCCAGCAACCTATGGACCAGCAGGTTTGCAAAAATATTAAAAGCAATCAGAAACTACTAACCCTGGAAAATACTGTAACTCTTGCTAAGCTGAAGATGCCCCCAGGAGGCACKCTTGTATAATTTCACATTCCAAAGGCAGGCATTCATAAAAATGTAGCTTGTCACTGCTAAAAGCCAGTGAGAGTTCTAACAGATCTTTGATTGTTTGTATGAGCAGTTTACTTTACTCCCAACCTGAAGGTATAAGAAGGTTGTGTACTTAAATTGCCATTTTGCCTCTTGAGTGGGATAGCATCGAGTTTTGAGGATCTGCTTAAGGTAGAACACATTGTCAGCATGTTGAAACCTGATACATGTTTGTGCTCAGTGTCCATGTAATGGTATGCTCCTTGGTTGACTAAGGACTCAGCTTGGGGCTTGTATGTCTGGAGCTAATGAGATCCATACGGACCTGAGTTGCAAAGCCAGTGTAATGGGTTTTTGTGTKCTGTGCATATCTTCTGGGCTGTGGAGTTAGCTTAGGGTCAGTATTGCTCATTGGATCAGCTGCTGCATTGTCTCTCACACTGCTGTTTCTGTACAAGAACTAGCTTTCAGTTCAGCATCCTTTGTTCACATGAGACAGTCACAGTCCTGTCACACTTGACTGTGTCTGTGACAAAAGACATGTAGCCCAGTTATCTGAGCTCAGATTCAGAGTTGACTCTAAATGACTAGTCGGAATGAGAACTTCAGGGATTCACATAAAATTTCTGTTCCCCCATTTTTTCTCCTTCCTATTTTCTTCAGGTATTCATAATTTTAAAAACAAACATGGGATCAGTTCAGCTAATTCTGAAAAGCTTATCTCACCTGTTTCATTCTTCCTGAAAACTGTTCTCTGCATCTTGAATCCTGCTCTTCTGATGTCTTTTGGCTTGTGATTATATATATCTACATATACATATTATACAGATATGTATGTCGGGTTTTTTTCCCTCTAGGTATTCCAACCCAAATACCTGCTTCTTCGTTGATGCCAGGACCAGCAACAGGACCTGACTCTATTGTATCGCAGGCTCAGGTAACATCTGCTTCAGTTGCTGGACTTCCTGTGTGGCTACAAGCAGTTAACCAGCCTTTAATGCCTTTGCCTCAGACTCTGAATCCCTACCAGGATCCGCTATACCCTGGATTCCCTTTTAATGAAAAGGGAGAAAGAGCCGTTGCACCTCCTTACTCCCTGTGCAGTACTGGGGAAGACTTACCTAAAGGTGAGAAGATCTGAGTTTTGCACCATTTTCCCTAATAGGTCTTCTTTTCTTAAAATGTAGATAAACACAACTATTTTTGGTGCTGTTGTCATTCTTTGTCAAGAGCCTATAGTTGTCATTCCATGATTTAAGATATGGGAGGGAATATTGAATGGAGTTGTAACTCTTCAGTTTGCRTTGGCAGCATTGTGACTGTTTCAAGTGGTCACACCTGGAAATCTGACAGGATCATTTTGTGATTCTTAGCTTGCCCCATCATAACTTGAGGTTTTGTGCATGTAAAGAATTATCTTTAGAGAACTGCTTCCTGTCAGAGTAACCGCTTTGCTCATGTCATTTAAAAGTTTGGAAGCTATTGAGCATTTCCCTGCTGGTCTGGAAAATCCTGGTTTTGGCATATTACAAATGAAAGGTATGCCTGTAAAGAACAGCTCATGACTGATTGTGGACAGTGGTATTTGTTTAGTGAACTGTTTCTTAAAAAAAACAGAAGTTCACAGGCTGTTAAAACTAAACTTAAACTGTTAAAACTAAATTTAAACTGCTGTTGTGTTCTAGATAACTTAACTGTGGCAAAAAAAAATCCCAGCAAATCAATTGAAGACATGCAAGCAGTAACTTAATACAAGTGTTCTCTACAGAAATGGCACTTCATGCATTTTTTTTTATCAGATGAAGTCATTTAGGTCTTCATAAATATTTTTGTGTTTTTTTCTAGATAAGAATATTCTTAGATTTTTCTTCAATCTCGGTGTGAAGGTAACTCTTCAAACTTTGTTTTCATGTTTGTTATAAAAATCACTTGTAAATAATTGTTAATACTTGGAATGCAGAAATTTTGTTGCTGYAGCTGTACATTTCAAGTCCATCTTTCAGTTTGAAATACTTTCTTATTTTGTGTTCTGTTTACTGGGATTGCAGCAGTTCTCCACAGTATACAGTTCAAGTCAGCAGAAATCAAATTCATGTTGACGGCATAGTRAGAACTATTGGCATCCAACTGTGGCTGTACAGTCAGCAAATTGTGCTTTACAAAGCCATGGATAAATTGTGAATGTGAAGATGCTTCTTTGGAGTGCTGTGCATAGGGGATGAGAAAATGCCCTTAGATCTCAACCCTGGCTCTGTACTGGCAAAGCTACTGCAAGAGTCCAAGTCTTTCCCTGGGGACACACTCTTAAGTAACCAACATATCTGTCCTTTCTGCTCAGGTTAATGACAACAGTACCTTTTGAGTAATTACAGTAGTGCATCTGTGCAAATCTCTGTGTGGCTGGGGAAGAGGCTCATCCAAACCCAGCTTGGGTTCCATTGCTTGGCAACGAGTAGTTGTTTGCTTTCTTTCTGCCTTCTGTATGTAAAAAAGTTCTTTTTTTCCCCTTCTTACTCCTGCTATCAGGCAAACGACTTTGGCCAAAGTGCTGAGAGCTCTTGGGCTTATTTCATGTGACTTTGGCCATAGCAACGATACTCTTCGTGGCTGGGCATGGAAAGAGAAAATAGCACAATTTCCAATGTAAAYTTGATACTTCTGCCTAATATAAGTCTCTCTGCTTAATAGAAAATCTGCAAGTCATTAATTAGTGCCACCACAATGTATTTCAGCAGTGTGAATTTCMTAAGATGACATGCTTGGGACTCTCCTTACTGATACTTAGGATTATTGAGGGTGTAGTCTGTCGTTTTGGTGCTTCAGCACCATCTGCTGGTCCCAGACCACGTTGTAGTGGCTGTGCTCTCCGTTGGTGTCACAGGGTACATCAGGCCTGGGAACTACCCTCTGCATTGTCTGTCTGATGCTCTGCTCCAGACCTCCTGTACCCTGCTGGTACCCACGCCCTTCCASCTGCAGAGAGAGAGGGAAGGGGGTCCTGGAGAAGTGGTCTGGCTTTTCAGGATAGTTAGCTCCAGGGACTGTTTCTACAGATTCCAGTACATAAACGTGGAAGTAGAGAAAAGGGAAGGCGTGGCCACCTGAAGTGAACAGATTCAGTGTTGTGGCCTCTGCAAAGTGAGCTCTAGTATAACAATTGCCAATTAATAAGTGTACTTGAGGAAATGAGTTTGAAAGTCAAGCATTGTGCGTTTAACTATATAGAAATTGTTACTAAGTTTTCTTACTGTTCACAATTGTTGCCCGTTTCAACTGCATTTGGAAGCAAAACAACAAATTACRCCATCCTAGAGTTGTAGGATTTAGATTTGAGGGCAGTCACTATAAAGAAAATTAAYTTTTTTCTCCTATAACTAACTGTTTTGAAATGGTAAATGACTGGTGTACTTTTATGTCTCTCTGAACATTCAAAAGACCAAATAACTGATTTTTAAACTTTCTTCCCTGCTGTCTTGCAGGCATACAGTTGTCCCATGTGGGCACCCCATTCTTACCTGTACCCTCTGCACCAGGCCTATTTAGCTGCTTGTAGAATGTACCCAAATGTGACCCTTCCTGTGTATCCGCACAACCCCTGGTTCCAGGAGGCTGCTCCGACTCAGAATGAAAAYGAAACTGCACGACCAAACAGGCACTTTGCTGTTCAGACTGAGACCAGATCCAACGGTCAGATTCCGCAGGCTGACAGATCTCCATCACTGCCTCTGATCATACCTTCAGCTCAGGTGTCAGAAAGTCAAGGACAGGTCTGTGTTGAACCAGAGAATCCAGCTCAAGCTCTTCATGCGAACTACGAGGAGTCCCTGAGAGGAAAAAACATGTTCCCGCAGCCACCCTTTGGACACAATCACTTTCTAGGAGCTGTTCCAATAGCACCTCCTTTCTTTCCTCCCTTTTGGTATGGGTACCCAGTTCAGGGTTTCATTGAGAATTCAGTAGCGAGAYCTAATGTTGTCTTGTCACCTGAGGACAAAGAGGCAGCAGCTGGCACCTCTGCCAACATGTACATGAGCAAAGAATGCAGCCCTCCAGTTCCTGGAGTGAACTGTGCAGAGCAGCTCCAGAAGACCAACAGCAGCAGCGGCTCCAACACGGTCCCATTCCCAGTGGCTGCTGCAGGGGCCCCGAAAGACACTTCAGCAAGGGCACCTCAGCTGGAGCAAACCTGTCCTTCRGCTGCTCCTAAGCAGAAAACATCTGGGCAGCAACATCGCCCTCCGCAGACACAGGGCACAGAGAGGCCGATGGCAGGGCCCAGCACACAGCMACTGCTGGCAGAACCTCCTAAAAATGAACTGAAACCCAGCATTCCTGGCCGTAAGGAGAAGCCTGCTAAAGGGAGAGATTCCAAGGGCACTGGTAATGTGCAAACAGAAAGCAGGGCCCAGAGAACGAGGGAAGAGAGTTCTGAAGATGACAGTGAAGTTTCYGACATGCTGAGGAGTGGTAGATCCAAGCAATTCTATAACCAGACTTATGGAGGAGGCAGAAGGCCTAGACCTGACAGGGGTTATTCCAGCAGGGGAGGATACCAGTTCCAAAGAAACGAGGAGGCCTGGAAAGGACCACCCAACAGAAGCAGAGATGACGGCTACCAGTATCAGAGAAACTTTAGAGGGCAGCCATATCGGAATGACAGGAGAAGGGCAACACTGGGAGATAATCAGAGGGGGCAGCAAGCATAGAGTGTATGAGTGGATAATTGGAAAGTTTAAAATGCAGAAAGAAATTTGAAGTAGCAGTTTAAAATCTTAATTTCTTTTTAGYGAAGTTCAGTGATTCGTTTAATTCTCGGCAAGTAAAGTCTAGGAGGATGTCAAGTCCTACCATAGGGTTTTTGGGGAGATTCTAGAGTTTGTTTGGCTTAGCAGTTTTTCTTCAATGTCAAATTAGAAAAAAAAATAGGTTTAGTGTTTGATAATTCTTTTCCCCACAAAGATTTGAGTTTGTGATAGAAGATGGGTATGTGCGTTTACTAGAGTGACAAATGACAGCATTTGATGTGATCTAGATTCTAAAATTGACAGTAACATTGCACCAAATATAAATATATATTTTATCATACAATGCCTTAGTTCTGAACTGAGCTAAAGGAATTCTCAGCCTACTGCACTGTTGTCTCTGATATGCTTCCAACCCAAAGGCCTTTCATCTCAAAAAGAAAAAATATCTGTCAAACTTGAATGTTTCTCTTGTGTGTTACACATATGGCAGCCAGCTAACCCTGTGTCTTAGGTATGTTGTATATAGTTCTTTTCATAACCATAGGGTATATTTTTGAATTTTAAAAAGCATTTATTTGTTGAAATCAAAATCAAGACAAGCAGTCAAGAATACCTGTGTAAGAATTGAGAAGAATGGCTGTTTCCACCATGAGTTCTTCTTAATGCTGGTGTGACTAGAATGGTGCCTATGCCAACTGAATAATTACAAAGACAATAAAAATGTAGATGCTATGCATTTCCAAAATAATTCTGCATCTGTTATAATAGCAGAAGTTTTTTAAATGCCACTTTAACACTAATGCACTGACAAATCCTAGATATTTTGTGAGGAGATGCATAAAGTACGTGTTACGTTTTTTTAAGTTTGTACAATTGAGCTACTGTTCAGTATTCTTTTGTTGTTGCACTGTTGATGTTTTGCATGTACAACTCCTTGCTGGAACTACTTTTAAAAGCAAGAATGGAGAGTCTCAGTGTGCTCTGCTCTTCCCTACAATTCAGAAGAAAGTGGCTTCTGCCTTATATTTTTACACTGTGTCAGAGTTCTGATGCTRTTTCTTCTGAGCCCGGTTACGATCTCTGCAGTGTTCCTGTTGCCTTTGCAGTCTGGGTGTTCAGCTGTCCAGACTCGGAGAGTGCAGTGTGCACAGTATTCACTCTGCTCTGTTGCTCTGTAAAATTGAACTGTTGTGTATATTTTTATATCTCTGTATACAGTAGTGTAGGTGATGGTACCCATTCATTGTGTCTGAGATTGTACACCCTTGGTGCAAAAACCAGAGTGATAGTTACATGATAAAGAGTTTGTTTTCAGATGCATGCTATGTATAAAACCCTAATTAAAATAAATGTTTTGTCTTTTCACTTGTTTTCTAAATTATAATTATGTATTTAAACTGTTGCAGTGGCATTAAATGAAGTGTTGTTACAGAGGCAATTGTAGACTGCTTAGAATGATGAACAGGATGTGRCATGCAGCAAACAAAAAGGGTGTGAATTAGCAGTTTTTGTTCGTAGGGGTAATGCTAAACGTTTATTTTTTCTTAACCTAAATACTTAATTCAGAAATTTATTCAGTATTTCAAAAGAGGCAACATTCAGTTTTTCAGGTTAAGAATGAAGCACTGAGGGATTTAACTGTTGGTACCATTGTGGTTTTCTGTTTATCTCAACTGCTTTCAAAAACTTTAGTGGGCTGCTTGCAGAGCTTACTGGTGAATGTTAAACTTAACTCCTGTTGTCCCCCAGATTTGTGCAGCAGTCACTGAAATAATCATTCTGTCCTGGAGCAGGCAGTTCATCACGCAAGAATGAAGGCCKTAATGCTGCCTACAGAAATTTGTTGGGAAATAATGGGGAAGAGAGGCATGGCAGTAACTGGGAGGGATGTGCTTTTAGAGCTTACTTTTAAAAACCAACTTCTTCCAGTTGGGCCTACACCCTGCCTTGCTAGGACACTCTTCAGTCTAGGACTCTGAAGGACTGGAAGGTGTATTTTCTCCCTCGCTGATCAAGTAAGTCTGGTTTCCTCTCTTGCTGAAAGAGTTGTAGATTGATTGGCCCAACCTTTTGCCTAGGGCAAGATGTTTTAGATTGCAGGATCCTCCTGTTAATGTATGTAATATTCAGCATATAATGTGCTGTGATGCAGAGCTTCAGGTAATTGCTGAACTACATCTTTACCTTACCCTTACTACAACTGATAAGATGCACCACTCCAGTCTGAGGAGTGCAGAAACCACTCCAGTCYGAGGAGTGCAGAGGAGTACAAGTTTTCGTCAGCCTTTGGCAATTTTTGCCTGAGAGGGTGGTGGTGTAAGGAAGTGTTCAATACTTGCATTTCTTCAGGGAGTCCTGCTGGTATAGTACAGGTGGATTGGTGTTACAAGACAGGGGTAGTGTGGATATAATGCTCAATACTGCCCAGGTTATAAAATAACAATGCTAACACACAGAATGGCTTAAAGAAAAAAAGACAAACCACTTCTTTCTGTAGCTTCTGAGGCAAAAATGTAAMCAAAGAACAAAGCCATGTTTTCTCTCATAATGTTTTTCACATGCCAAGGAAGGCAGAGAAGAGAATATTGAATAAAAAATACTGTTCCTTACTTTTAAGAGATAGAGCTGCAAGTCGTTTTTACATGTCTGCTTAAGTAAGCAGGAGCCTTTAAATTTTCCTTCTGCATCCCTGAAGGACCTTTATGTATATGGAAGTAAGTTTTTAGTGAGATCTTTAATTTAATTTTTGTCTGTAAGGATCAAAGCTTTTACTTCAGGAAAAAGTAATTCCTGCATCTTAGCCTTATAAAGTTCTTGGAAGAGTAAGTTGGTAAGATGGAAACATGTTAATAATTCTTCAAGATTACTTCACTGAGTATTTTTGTCTGGATCTGAGAAGATGCACAGGGACAGATGTTTAAAAAAAGATGTAGCTACCTTGTTATATTCTTTGGACTGTATCTTCTGTGTGTGTGCTACAGTATGAGAAAAGRRGTGTGTGACATATAAGTATACATACTTGAATTAGTAATTCAAGAAATTCTGCAGTGTCACAGCAGTGTTGAAGTTAGGTCAATATTTTATTTATGAAACCCTCATCCAGAGAGATTCAACCTTTTAAAAGAGTTGCTCCTGTATCTTGACATTCTTAGTAAACTTCCCTCTTACACAGAAAACAGCTTCAAAGATTTATTTTAAAATGAGGAAGTTCAGGGTTCATGAGTGGGATATATTGAATTGAAAACCCTTAAATTTTGAAAAATCAGGAGACCCATTTGCACAATTTCAAGGTGGTCTATTATGAAATTCTTACGCTGAAAATAGGGCTGTGTCATCAAAATATAGAAAGTGGCAGTTTTACTCAGACTAGGATGTTTACTGCTACTGTTTCAGGTGTTAAATGCAGCAAGAGATTTTAAGCTCCAAAAGATTAATTGTTCTAAAACCTGATCTGAGCCATCTCATCACAATTCCAATRTGCATGTCTAGATGCCAGTTAAAAAGATGCTGGGATTCAATATTTAGTCATCCAGGAAGAAGTAGTTTCCACTCTTCTTTTGTTCAACATCCTTGGGAAGAGAAAAAAGGTCACTGTTACTTGAAGTAGTCTTTGGCAGACTTGAAAATAACTGAAATAAGACATTAGTAAACTCCTTTCTGCTTCCCTTATTACTCTTACTAGTTTCACATGCTGTTTTTCAGCACAGCAGAGCTGCCCTGTCAATCTTCATTTTGTTCCTTATTTTAAAATCTGGCTTCATATTAAACAATCATGGCACCTTTGTTGTAAAGRTACTCCTCTCTTACCTTGATGGAATTGAGTTTGTTTATTCTTGGTCTGTAATTGTTGGGGTCTCTTCTAAAAGTGATTTCRAGCTGAGATAAAAATTTATTCATTCCAGCCAAAAGAGTCTGTGGACTGTGAAGAGAGAAGAGCATTTCAGCTACATTTTCAGAGGTTTTATACTATATAATTACAGGCAACTTTGAGCTTCATCCTGAGCTCRCTCAGGGTTAGAAATGCAAATGTGAGCTGCATTTGGCATACCAGGATGTGCCACATTTTTAGTCAAACCCTATCTTCGATCCTGCTGAAAGAGGAGAGTAGTATCTCAGTGTGGCTTCCAGCCATGACMTTTACATTCTTTTTATTTTCTATCTACATGTGTGTGTTGGCACACTTAACATATTCAAAGAAAAAAACCCCAACACTTGCACCATAAGCAAAATCTAACAAATATCATTAATGTCACTTTCTCAGCATCAGTGTATGATTGTGATTTTTGAATTCCACCTTTATGTGTTCTTGGAAGGAACACTGTCAAAGCCAGGGTAGCAGGGGGTTGCAGACACATGGCAGACCAGTAAGTTTATTTCATCTGGCCTGTGCTAAGTTCTCACTGTTCTAAAAGCCTGATTTCTAGTAAGGCTGCTCATCAAAAAGTCTCTGTTATCTACGTGAAATTATTTCCAGGAACAAAAGTGGACATATCAAAAGGGACAGCTTTGGAAGAGTAAAACAATTGACACTGCACATTGCTGTCAGGACTTGTACTTCGCTACATTGCATACAGGTACCGTTCGTACATTGCTTTCTTTTAATACATCTGAAAATTATTTTCATGAGCATAGTTTACAATTGGTAGTTTTTGATTCCTTATGACTGATGCCATTTGATCTCTTCTGACTGTAATTTAGCCATCATGGTGCTAAATTGCTTAAGGCTGGTCTAAACCAGGAGCTGGTCTTAAGAGTTTGGTTAGGTTTTCCAACCCTGCCCCAGCTCTAGGTCTAGGCAGCCTGTAAGTGAGGATCAATCCCATTTTCTGTTCTATGATTCAAAACAAGTCAGAACCCTCACAACAACCTTGCATGCAGCTGAAATTTCCATAGGCTCTCACTGCAAGGGGTGACAATCTTGCTTGCTAATCCCAACAAGTCTCTTACCTGTTTGCCAGTGTGTTCTTSGAAGGAATGCCATCAAAAACAATCACACGATCAGCAAGATATGTAGCCATGATAAAATCATGTTCCACCACAAAAGCTGTTTTTTTAGCATGGAGAATGAAACTGAAATGAGGGGRAAAAAGGAAAAGTTCATGTGATCTCATTTTAACACTACTGCAAATTTCAGTTCCTTCCCCACCATGTGTACTCACCGTTTAATGACTCTGGCAGCCATCAGACGCTGTTCAGAGTCCAAATATGCTGAGGGCTCATCGATCAGATACACATCTGCAGGTTTACCCAGACAAAGAGCTAATGCCACACGCTGCAACTCACCACCAGACAGTGTCTGAACCTGGTTGTATGGAGGGAAACAAGGCCATGTTTAGTTCAGGTACAGGCTGAGAGTTAAAGAAGAAGATTAGGATATTGATTTGGACAATTAATACCTCCTGGTCAATAATGTTTTCTATCTGAAGTGGTTTCATTACGTCAGTTACAAACTGGGGGTGTGTGTAGGCATCTCTGATCTTCTCGTGCAGTAGCTGACGGACACTTCCCTAGCAGAAAGAAAATGTTGTTATTCAGTTTTATGCACCACAAAAAAAGACACAGAATTTTTTTTAAAATAGATGCAGATATAAAAGACAAAAAACATTTTTTTTATTAAGTATCTGTGTGTTTTGCAGCAAACACAATAAATAAGGCTGAAACATACCGTAGATTTAGGGCTGATTTTCTGTGGTTTGTAGCTGACATTCAGGACTGGGACCTCACCTGTAAAAAGACAAAATTTATAATGTAAACAAGAGCCTTTCCAGTATCTTTGAAATAGGTTTCAGCTGAGTATAACATATTACCTCCTTCATCAGGTGTAAGTCTTCCTGCAAGCATTCGGATAAATGTCGTTTTGCCAGTTCCTAAAAGAAAARTATACATTACACATTAATCACTTTTTAGTCATTTAGCTCTCCAACATTTATGTCACTGATACAACAATAACTAAGACTATTTAATAAAGAATACATTTAAAAATCAGACTGCTTTGAAAATTCCTATATTAACTTMCAGCACTTGCTACTACTTGCTTTTTCAAATGGAAGAGACATCTTAAACCTGCCACCTAACCTATGTTTTTAAAATGGGGTAACAGACCAACACAGTGGCACTGTGAACACTCAGTAACTTCATGTTCTCCCTAGTCAGGAAGTCAACCCATGGTGTGACATCTTCACTAGGTAACAAGCAGCTCAACCTGACTCAAACCCAGTAATTTTGAAGTCTGGCTCCCAAAGTGAAAAGGGCTTTAGGAGCAYATTCAGGGCTGAAGAAGCAGCTTCCAACACAAATTGCACTTACCATTTTCCCCTAACATCACCATGATTTCAGAATCAGTGAATTCTCCAGCTACTATGGAT